TAAATCAATGCTCTGTTTAGTGACATGGAATCCTCCCAGATAATTTATTCCCTTGTCCCCACTTCTCCCTGGAGCCTTGTCCCGTTACACAGATGATGCAGCATCACTTCACCACATGCTGTCAACATGCACAACAATAGACAGCCACTGGAACTGTTGCACTCCTGCTCCATTCTGTCTATTTGACCTATTTTGTTTCCCAAAGAATCCTCTTGCTAACCCTCTCCTACATCTTCTGGCCTAGTGCCTAGATACATCACTGCCAAATTTTGCACAGCTTGAAGAGTGATATTTCTTCCCCCTGAGAAAGTTGCTGATTTCACCCTCCAGGTTCCCAGTGGGACAGTTAGAGACTTAATTAAAGACTGCATTATATGCACAAGGGCAACCTGAGTTCTCTACCTTTCAAGGACTTTGCAACTTTAATGTTCTTTTAACATAGTTGGGGGAGGGGGACAATTGGAGGAGGGTTAATTTCCTAAATTTTTAAAAAGGCAAACTGGTTACAGAGAGCCCATCACATGGAACCATACTGACCACCCGTGGGTCAACAAGTAGCATTGGAAATTTTAGGGCCACAGGACAGGTGTCTGCCATTTGAGCTATCAGAGCACTTGATCACAGTAGTAGTTATCCTTCAGGTGAACCAGACACTAGAGGGGGAGGAGAGAGAATTCACCAGTGGGTTTCTCAGCTGTTTGCTTACAGCAAAGGAATGTTGAGACTGAGGAATCCCGGATACAATTCCAGGCTCTGGAGGGGAGTATGGCCTATAGTGGTTATAGATCTATCTGTCACTATCCACCCCAGTCCCTGCCCCCCTCCTCCCTACAGCTGCTGATCCTACCTCTGGCTCCCTTCTGCTCCCTTCCCTTCTTTGCATTCAAGGCTGATTGGATTTCCCCCTCTTCCATGATGCCTGGGCACCAGCAGAGTGGGCACTGAGAACACAGACGAGATAGTCTCCTTGTTGTCATTTCCAGTGCCTGGTGTAACACTGGCAGATATGAAGAGCAATTGTTGGAAAAGTCCTGTTCAGCCCTTGCATGGCACACAGCCACTCTGTTGGGATGGCATATGTGTAGTCCCACTGAGAAATAGCTGTGTGAGGAAGAAGCATGCTCATTGCAGATGGAATCTTCTGAGACTTGAGCTGCCAGCCACTAACAAACCTCTGCTGATCATGTTTGAATTGTAGTTTTTCATAGGGTTATAGTTTGGCCAAATTTGGGCAGATTTTTATGGGGACAGCAACAAGCACATCCTTGATCCCATGGCAATCCTCACCTACCCCATAATTCAAGTCCCTATTTTAAAGCATAGATGCTCTAGAGCCTCTCAATTAAATGGTGGCAAGATTTTAACATGGAGAAAACAATGTATTTTTTCCCTAATCTTGGAAAAGGCTGAACTGTTTTAGGTTAAATGTTACAAAAATATATGCCTGAGGCAAACACCTAGCATAGAGATTTGGGCAAAGTTAAAAGTAACTGTCAACACTTTCCACTACAAAATGCTATTTTTAATCTGAACTGTAGGTAGCTACCAGCTCTGCCTATACTATCTAGCTGTATGGGGAACCCCTGAAAGTGTCATGTGGTATAGAGTTTCATCAGTCTGAATTGGGGATGGCACTCTACATATAGATGGCAAAGCTATAATTGAGTTGCTGGTATGTATATCATCCCAAATAAGAGCCAATAAAATCTTTAAACCACACCCTAGCATCACATATTCTGTGTATGCTACATGTCATAGAAATCCCTTATAAGGGATTTAGAACAGATTCCAGGGAGATGGATTGGTAATGTTCAAAAGTGCATGATAAAATGTATTTATTTCATGGCTCTGCAATTTTTCATACAGATGTCACCTCTCCCTCTGTATGTGTGTGTGAGAGATATCACACACACACACATTGACCACATACTCAAATACACACACACACACGACTATGCTTTCTATTAAAATACAGCCTTCACTGGAATGGAACACAACAGCTGTTTAACCAAATAGAACATCACCATTTAAGAGTTGGGGCAGGAAGAATACTGCATTTATCGGAATTCCAGGGGGAATTATCATATGTGCTTTCATACTATATCTAATTTAAAAGTTGTGATAGAGCCATGAAGGATTGACTAATCAATCAGAACTTTTGCAGAATATTTAGTACCATGACAGCTGATCATTCAAGCAATATTTGGCTTATCAGTATTTTTTTCTCACTTTCTCTTCCGTGGAGAGTATCACAGCACATGAAATCAGGAGGGTCGCGTTTGTGAAAATGAGGGCAGAATTTGTCCCATTATGTTTTAAAATATTGTTTATAAATTCATATGAGGTCATTGTACTAACTTTTTTGTGTTTTAGAACACAAGATAGGAATTATATACAGGCTTCAAAATATTAATAACTTCAGGGGGCTATATATATATTTCTTCTAATTGTAATTTTCAGAGTGTTGTAGCACAGCAGGGTACTGTATATCATATTGTTCCTAAAAATCATTGGTTGAATTGCCCTATCATGATGATATAATGCAAATTGGATTAAACAGAAGTCATCTAAAATTAATAAATGAAACGTTTAATTTGATCAACCCTTGAGTATAATTTGGGGAATCACCATCTTGCTACTATAACATTTTCTTTTGCAAACCAGCATAAATCCAAGTACAGCACACTTCCCTGTTATTCATGAGATGGATGTGAACACAATCATGAGTAAAAGTGCAGTATTTTTATCACAGTCTGTCAAAACACTGCTGCTTATGTAAATATATGCCCCGTACAGTAGTCAGGATTCTTGAACATGTGAAGCAATTGGTCTATGTCTCATCTATTGAGAGAATAAAAAGACAGTGGGGACTAGTGTTTAAAACAGAGGACTGGGTGCCTCGGTTCTTAGGTTGTACAGCTGGCTCTGCCACTGGTACAAAGCTGTAACACAGGGAAGACAATCACCTCTCCTCAGTTTACTCATCGTTAGTACTAACATAATTCTTACTCTCTCTAATGTAGTTCACACAGGTGCCGTGAGGCTACATTAGCTTGCAACGTGCTTTGAGATCCTCAGGTGGGAGGCAATATATTATCATCATCATCCTGTGCATTTATATAACACCTTCCATCTGAAGTTCATAAATGAGTGAAGTCTCACAAGATCCTGAGATAATTATTATCATCTCAATTTTACGGCTGGGGAAACAGACAAAGATTAATACCAACATTTTCAAATTTGGATGCCTAAAGACAGCACCTAAATCCATATTTAGGAAGCTAAATGAAAAGGTTCAGAAGTGCTGAGTCAACTTAAGTGCCTTGGCCAGTGTCACACCGGAACCCATATCTCCTGACTTCCAGTCCATTGTTTTTAACACAATCTTCTTTCCTATCTGTGCAACGCAGTATCGTTATTATAAAGCTAGTCTGGTGAAATGGTCTGATTTCCAGATCTGAAGAACACTTCACACATACCATCTCTAGCCAAAATTCCCATACGACTTTATTTTTTTCATTGCAGAATCTTCAAACTATCCATTATTGTATAATGAGGAAGTCCCAAGATCTCTGGGTTATCATCATGCTATTCTTTCTTTAAAGTTACAATGTTGATTTATGTTTTCTGAAATTAAGATAATTACATTTCAGATTCACTTTCTTTAAAGCAAGAACAAGGAGGACAAGACATTTTATATAGTTTACGAGGCCTGATAATTATTCATAAAACTTCCAGGACTTTTAGAGTAAAATCTGTTACAATCCTAGAGCACAATGGAGAAAAACAGGCAAATGATATTTTTTAAAAATAATAATTGTTAGTTCCTGCAGATCAGTTTTAATCTGTAGATCTCCTTTACAAAGGAAGAGATGTATCATGACCCCCATTTTACAGAAGTGGGGTGAACTGACCGAAGTCACGCAGCAGGTTAATGCAGAGCTAAGCATGGAACCCACATGTGATTCCTATCTACCCACACTGCCTCACACTGGCCTCTCTAGTAGCTGTAATTTCACAATGTACTTATGCATTTTAGGATTTTATGGTCTCATGAAATTTCACCAGGGCTAATAAAATCATTCTTATCTTCTAATTATATGACAAGACTGTACGTAATTAAATGGTTTGTCACCTGCATTTAGCTCTCGACAAGTTGAATAGAAGCCTGCTCTGTGTGGCAAATAAGACTCATGTACCAGTAGTTTTGCTTTTCCTTCAGATCTGCCAAAAAGAGCTCTGATGTTTTGAAATATGCCAGGCAGCACTCACTAAACCCTCCAACCTCAAGAGAAAGCATTCTCAATTAGAAATACATTATGATTGTCACAGCTAAGCAATTTCTTAGAGACTAAAGGGATTTTTAGTGATTTCATGGTATAAAAAAAGCAGTCAATGTAACACAAAGAAATTAAAATTCCAATGGAGGTGTCATGCAGTAAGTGAAAAGATTTAGCTGTCCAGTCATATAACTAAGAATAACCTTGCAAAGTGAAACTAAGATATGTGCTTCTCAATAGCAAAGAGCAGGTTTGTCTCAAAAAGTGTTTTTCCAGGCCCATGTACCCAGTTATAAGAACATTTGTAAGTAGCACAATGAAAAACAGCAGCACTCAAGATTAAATTGGGTTCTGAGAGTTTTCTTCCTGCGGCAGCCAGTCAGAAATCCTGCTAATGGGCAACTTACACAGAACAGATGATGTCATTTTGATAATGCTTCCTTTTGGCTTTACACACGCCAGTGTTTCTGGCAAATAGCAGAAAACCCAAATGCATTTCCAGCCTGTCTCTACAACCTCCGATAAGATCAGCATCATAAGACAGAGGGGAAAATAAAAAGATATGAGACCATGATACAGTGTTAAATCAATTATTACATCAGTACTGAGCTTTGTGTAGCTATAGTCTGCTCTGTTCATGAATTTACATGTGTATTGCCACTGATTTGTTTCACTCCCACAGCTATATAGATGGGTAATCACATCAGCAGACACAAACAATAGTAAGCAAAAGGTCATTTATTTATTTTTAAACACTATTACATTGCCAACTATTATTTAAAAAGGAAGACCATATTATATTAGTTCAAAACTATCTTGTTAAGCATATATACTTAAACTCTAATTTTACAAACACATAATGAAATACTTTTTATTTTACAAACAGCTATTTTAATAAGTATTATGAAAAACATGTTTTAAAAATAATTGCCAAAATCTCCCTCTTTAAATATACAAACTCCCCTTGCTATTCTGAAGATTTTCTTCCTTAGAAGCCAAAAAATATCTAAGTCACACTGAGTCTTCATCAAACCCTACTGACAGCAGTAGTGATATAAAAAGGTAAAAAGCACTGTACAAAGTATGCAAGTACAGCATTTATAGGTCTTAATACTATACATGCTTGCATTTGTTTTCAAAATGTTTTATAAAAACTCCTATTTTTAAAACAAAAAATTGAATGTCCTTCCCTGGCTGTGGAAAATATACAAGCCATTGTAATCCTATCTTGTTATTAAAACTTTATGGTTTTCCAGTGTGATGGGGCAGATATTGTGGTGAGAATTTTTGTCATCTTTATTGGATGCCATATATTAAGATGTTCCTAGGAGCTGATGCTTTTCTCACAGAAGTCAATGGGAGTTTTACCACCGACTTTAATGGATGTGGGACTGTATTCCAAGTTTTCTTTGGCATATCATTTTGCAGTGTCTCTTAATCTCAGTTTCCTCCACTCCGTGATGCAAAATTAATACACAGCCTTTAATATATTAACAAGAAAAACCAAATCTGGAGCAATTTGAAATTGACATGGATAATTGTAGGGGATTGTTTTAAATGTTTACTGGTAAATTCACTGAAAAACTCAGAGTATTTATTTTAGCCAAAAGTGATTTAATGTAATGAAGGGATACAATCTTCAAACCAAGCACCGGTGAATTCTGTATGTTTTCCACCAAAATTTAATCTGTTTACTTCCCTGTAGTGTGTATGGGTTTATTCCTTTGCTGCTTCCTTTATAGTCCCTTCTGGCATTTCTTCTGGAATGAGCTTTTCAAAAAGGTACGGTACCCAGGGTCATCCACATATTCATTCTTAAACCGGGAACTCAATACTCTCTGTCTCTTCTTTTCTCCCTGGATAATATCTGCTCCATAAAATGTGTCTTCAAACCTCATGTCGGAGGCTGTCGACTAAAAACAGACATTAATTACTCCTTCAGTTTCACAGTGGATATCACATTCCGACTCTCTCCAGGGCAGGCACATGAAAGCACCGGTACCTTTGGTTTACACAAACCGAAGACTATTTCAGTGACTAACCCAGAGAATTACATCATTATGAAGCCATCAGTGCTTCAGAACATGCAGTTTTACGATAGTGTTTCTTGGAAAAATCTATTCATGTTAAATAAATGTTGAATTTATTTTTTTTAATAAATACGTCACAATGTTTAGTTGCACATATTTGTGGGGTTTCTTAAAATTCATTTGACTGACTAGCTGTTGGATTTCATTGTGTCAAAAGAAAAGGAGTACTTGGAGCACCTTAGAGACTAACCAATGTATTTGAGCATAAGCTTTCGTGAGCTACAGCTCACTTCCACTGCATGCATCCGATGAAGTGAGCTGTAGCTCACGAAAGCTTATGCTCAAATACATTGGTTAGTCTCTAAGGTGCCACAAGTACTCCTTTTCTTTTTGAGGATACAGACCGATACCGCTGGTACTCTGAAACCTGTCACTGTGTCAAAAGATCACAGAAATGAGAGATGGGAAAGATCATATTGGATTCAGTTCATCCGTCTGCCCGTGCAGGTTTATTCCCAACAGTAATGTATATTATCTAGCATTTTATCCAGTCTAGTTTTAAATGTAAGGGATTGTATGATGCAGACTATTAAAAAGATGCCCTGTACAATTGCATGGCTTGTGCGGAGAGGGAGTCATGAGTTCAGCTGATGCTGGAAAATGTTAAAAAAAAAAAAACAGGGCAAAAACTGAAACAGCAAATGAGAAGCTATTGAAAAAATAATGAAACAAACGACAGGAATTTTAGGGCCCAGCCCACTCCCACTGCTGAGGCCAGTAGCAAAATTCCCATGAACGTCAATGGCATGGGATCAAACACTTTCAAGATGAAGAGATACCATATATCTCGAGCTGTTTAAAAGAAAGGGTGGAGCCAGCATTATAAACCATGGGGCTAGTCCTGCAAGGAGCTGAGTACCCTCTGACTTGAGGGTACTCAGATGAGTTCTGACTGAGTTCTATTGACTTGTACCTCGAAGATGCACTCAGCACCTCGAGTACTGGGCTGTATGTTTGTGAAGTCCAAGTTAATAACAGGGAAACAGCATCAGGCTTTCCACTGGGGGGGAAAACTGCACTTCTCATCAATAGCAATCATTTTGTTTTATTTAATAGTTTGATTACGTGTTTTAAAATAATACTTAATTCCACTAAAAAGTGAATGATGTCACGTGCAAAAGTAAAATATTGATCTATAAAAATGCCACTATTTTAAAAGAATAGCAAAAACCAGCCACATCTATATTGTTGTTCTTAGTCAAGTGCAACAATAAAACAGATTTACAGTATGTCTAGTTAATTCTAAACTCGTTGCATATACTCTATAAAACAACAAGAGGTAATGGGGCCTTTTCTGAAAAAAAATGAAAAACAACCAACTGTACTCACCCAGGTGGCTTGTTTGTTATTTTTTTCAAGAACCATCTATCTTAACCCTTAGGACACTGAAGGACGAGTGTACTCCTCTGAAGTAAACTGGTCCTGAGGTGTGGAAGTCTAGAATATTTGACTTCTGAATGTCCCTGCCAGAAGGAGCTCTGCTCCTCCCCATTCTTATTGCCTTTCTTGCTCAGCTCTTGCTCTCCTGAGTGAGATAAGCCACCTTCCTGGAAAAGCGCTTCTTAGCAAAGAGACAACCTCATCCTTCTCTGCCTCTCCCCAGCTGCCAGTCCCATCTCCATGTCACTTCTTACTCCAACTGCACCTTCCAATACGTGTTATGCGCATGCTTAAGGCTGCAGCTGGGAACTGGCAACATGGAGAAGCAGCTCATGTCAGGTGGGCATGCTGAGGAAGTAGTCGAGGTGAATATAAGGTCAGGATTTGCTTCTCCAAAGAATCCTGGCCTGCCTCCGTCTTCCAGCTGCAAGAAACCCTCCCTCAGCTACATCCTAGAGTGCTCTGTCTGATTGCTCCAAACTCACTTAAATAGACATTCTGCAGGTGACCCCCCTCACCCCTCATCCCCTGGGAATCACCTCATTTCCATATGGTTAATCTCATACAATACATGTGAGAGTAGGGGCAGTATGTGCAAGTACACATCTTTATAGCAATAAGAAACACACGGTGCTGCTGTTCTCATTGACAGATATGTTCAGATTATCTTTAAATACAATATGGATATTTTATTCATTAGCTTTTGAATTTAAACATTGTAAGATTTTTTTAGTCTGTGTGCTTCCATTTTACATGTTAAAAATGACTAAACAGTTAGCTAGCAGTGTATGATTTTGAGTGGACTGCTGAGAAACAGCAGCGTGTGTTATATGCAAATGAGAGGAAGAACATGGTGTCTCTCAGCCTGAGTATCTGACCCTCTAAGTAACTGATATAGGACTGTACAACATTTAGAATTTGTGCCAAACTTAGGTAATACAAACCTCCTCTCTCTTCCAATACTTGTATGTTGGAACGCAGAATTTCTTAATCTTAAAGGAGTTCTGTTCCTTATGGGGCTGTGTGGATTTTACATACAGTACTGTGTTGGAATAACTGATTGCTGCATACCAGCTGGAATTTATGCAGGAGCTGGGGAAGTATTTGAGAGCTTGGAGTCCAATTAAAAATCCGCTGTAGTCGATGGGAGTCTTGCCATTGACTTTAATGGGATTTGGATCAGGTTCTTTGTTGTTTTTTGTTAAACTTTTTGCTTTTAGAATTATGAACTTTGAGAACTTGGAAAATATACATAAATATTGCATATATTTGATAAGGGTATGAAAAGAACAGTTCATCTGTCAACACGAGATGTTCTTACTTAATCCTTCACGCTCTGACAGATGTTCTACCAGGATGTCCCTGTCAGCAGTCAAGATGTGTGTTTGATTACAGTATTTGGCTGTATTGACAGAACAGTAGACCAGTCTCACTGGCCAGTGCACACTTTTGCTACTTGGATGAATCTGGATAGCCACACTAGCACTGATTCTTCACAAAAATCCTTGTGTAGTATAAAGGGCTAATTCAGAATAAAGTCACAGCTTGGTTTAAAGTCCTTTAGAGTAAATTAATATTAGAACTTTTGTATTTGTAAATACTTACGAAACGGGCTTTCACTCGTTTAGGCAGTTCTTCATCTAATGTGTAGATCTCTTCCCTCTTCATTGCTATCTGAGAACCATCTTCAAACTCAACCTAATTTGACACATGGGAATTTTAGAAAAATATAAACTCATTGTTTGCAATCCTCGGGCACTCTCCAACAATAGACAGATTATCTACAGAGATATCAAACATTTGAGTTAAATAGTTATCTAGTGTTATTTATTTTTAGGAAAGAAAATAAAGAACCACCACCAAGGAACACCATGAACAGTCAAGAGTTATAGCCGTACTTCAGAAAATAATCACCAATTAGGTAACGTCTACACTTGTGCGTTTCCTGGGTACCTGTACCTAATAGTCCTGCTGAGCGTCCAGATACAGTGTGCTGAGCTGTGAGTGTATGATGTGCATATATACCCCATGCCTACACTGCCCTTTTTAGGACGTGATGATAGCGCTGCCTTTTCAGTGGCAGTATCACAGAGTCCTGTGTGTCCAAGGAGACACTCTGAGAACTGCCTTGTTGCGTGTTGCTAGTACTGTAAGCCGCATTTGGTGATGGCAGTTCTCAATTATGTCTCCCTTCTGCCTAACTGCATTGAAGAAATGGAGCAAGTCCATGATGATGTAGTTCTGCTCTGTGGACAAATGTTCATATCGTCCAGTACTGGATGGAATGGGTCCAGAAAAATTTGAGACACTGAAAATGGCTGACCAAGAGGGCAAATGAAAATCCACTGGGGTTGCAAGGAAAAGATGTGTTGAATGGTGGGATTGCCATGGTATGGCCATAGGTAGACTGCCACTTCTGGTCCCGGAGAACCAGCATAGCGTGGTGGAACCACCTCATCTTGGAAAGCTGGAACGATGACCAGTGGCTGCAGAATTCAGATTACAGAAGCAGACCTTCATGGAGTTGTGCAAGCAGCTTGCACCAATCCTCCTGCACCAGATCACTTGTTCTCAGAAACCCATAGCAGTACAGAAGCAGGTGATTATTGCCCTTTGGAAGATGGCAACATCTGATAACTATTGGTCAGTTACAACCCAGGTTGGGAAGTCAACTGTCAGAGTGGGGGTTGTACGGGTTTGCCACACTACCAATACTGGAATCTACTCAGGTGTGGTTGCCATATCCAAAGTCCCTTAAATTATAGTAGAATATCAGAAGATAGGGTTTCTGAATGGTGCAGGGAACGTTGACAGAACGCACATCCCAATACTTTGCCCACTGAAAGGGGTGAGTGAATAAGTGAACCAAAAAGTTTACTATTCACTTCTTCTCCAAGACTCAGTGGACAACCAAAGTCAATTCATGAGACTAACATTGGACACACGGGGAAAGGTCCATGACGCCAGGGTGCTCAGGAGGTCAGGATTGTACAGCGGGGGGGGGGGGGGGGGAAGGAAAAAGGAATTTTATTCCCCAGAAATGCCATGGTTCTGCATAGAGTTTCTGTTCCCACAGTTATGTTGGGGGACCCTGCATATGCACTCCTAACTTGGCTTGTGAAGCTCTTTCCAACATCACTGACCCAAGACAAAAGGAATTAATCTATAGCCTGAGTAGCTGCAGTATGGTAGGGGAATGCCTTTGGGAATCTGACAGCTCATTGGCAATGCCTGCAAACGCAACTGGATGCCAAGGTAGCCAACACAGTTCGCATTATCATGGCATGCCGTACCTTGTGCAACATATGTGAGGCTAAAAGAGAATACTCCCAGAGCTACTGGACACAGGGCAGATATGGTTTACAAACCCTGTACAGGCAGCTAGATCCCACCCATGTGCATACTGCTCCTGGTTCAATTTGTGATGCTATTTTCTCATACATTGTGGAGCAGCGTGGAGCCAGAAAGTGACCTGGGAAAGTGCCACGGGACACTATTTTGATGTTATGGTGCTGTTGAAAAAGCTCAATAGATCATTGCTATATGATTGTCCAGCGACATACTTCAGTGAGTTTCAATCCCCTACAGCTGATGGTAATGTAGTAACTGAAAGCCGACAACTGGGTGAGTGCACTCAAGTTTAACACCTTTGGCTGTGGTTTTGTGCTGTGGAGAATGTATCGGCACTATAATGCCATCATTGAGCAATGCTGGTGTTGCGTGTTGACAACTCTGTTTCATGCTGCTTTATGGGGAGTAATTAAGCATTGTTAAAGTAATTTAAAAACAGTTCTGTAAGGTTTTGGGATGGGCTTCATATATGCCTTCTTCACAGCGTTTTCTGACATCCTTACTCACAGCACTAATCAGGTGCTATGCATGAGTACTTCTGTGCTGCAAGCAGTGACTATTTGGTGAGGTTGAGAGAAGAGGCGTTGCAAAAGCACAGTTCACTGTCAGATATCTCTACTGTTAATTTACTTTTGTTTCCTTTGTCTGTATTGTCAATGAAGTCATTAACAACACCATAAAGACGGTTCAGTTAACTTCTTTTCTGTTTTTCATTCTGGTGCTTTGGACAACAACAGTTACTTCACAGTTTAGTTCACATTAATGAACCTTGTTGTTTTTTTAAAACTAGGAAATTCATGGCCAGGGGCTGAAGGTGACGTGGGAGGGACAGAATTCATTGCATTTCTTTGGCCCCACGCATCTACAGAAATCACAGTCATGTGTCGTGAATCCTGCTGACCCATTCCTAACATGTGGAAAATATCACATTGATCATACTCAGAAAGCAAGCTGCACACACAAGTGAAGTGAATGGTAACTTTTATTTACAAACGTACATCAAACAAAAGACTAAAACAAATTAACAAAAATAAAATAAAAACAAAAATAGAGACAAATTAACAAAAAAAAATTGTACAATTCCCTGAAAGTGGGAAAACATTAGTGTTTGTAGACACGTCTTCTTGTCCTTCCTCTCCCCGAGAAGAGGGGGAAAGACTGAGGAATATTGTGCAGTGGACAAATGGAGAGGTATCCTGCATGGAGCTTGGGGGATAAACAAAGACTGGGCTATAGAGACTAGATGGGCTTATTTTTGCCCACAAGCAGGCTTTGTGGGGGTTCCCCGTGCAGAGTTTTGGGTGCTAACAGAGTATGTTGTGTCAGGTGTCCAGCATGCTCCTCCCTGGCAGGGGTAGTGCTGGAGCAGCCTGGACAACAGCTAGAGGAGGAGAAGCGGCAGGAGGAGACCGTGCTGCCTTGTTCTGGAGGAAAGCAGCAGTCCAATGGCAGACAGGTCCCAAAAGTATTCCGCCACCAGCTGTACCAGGGACTGCATGAGTGAATGGTCCCATTCCCTATGGGCATGCTCCCACTCCATGAACCGGATCATGAGTGCCTCCTCCTGCCTAAAAGTCCGATCCTCCTTCATCCTAAGGAACTCTACTGCTCCTGACTTCTCCTGTCAATGCCAGCGAGCATGGTCCTTCTCTATTTGCCTCTGCTATCTCTGAGGTGCTCTTTCTCCCCTCCTGGTCGAACGGGTTCCCTGCCAGCATCAGGAATGTCCTGACAAGTCAAAGACAAGGCGAGCATTATATTTCATTTCTCCTTTGCAGGAACCTAAGAAATCCCACCCCACCCAAGGTAACTGTGCTTCCAAAAGCCACAATATTGATACATTTTAGCATTCCAGAAATGCTACTGTTATAGCCTCCTTCCTTCTGACTACTTTTGCCTCCCAAAAGGAAGGAGATGAGGGTAAAAACAGCAAGATACCCTGAACTACTGCTATGAAAATGTTGCACTGTAGGGCATCAAGGAGCCAGTTGCAGTGTGGTTTGAGTCCTTTCAGGATTTACATTACTAGTTACCTATATCTTCTTTAAAGGCTGGCCATCATTTGGAGAACATGGCAGTACTGAAGGTGCCAGAATGGAGAAGAGAAGTGGCTTTCCAGACCTGTGGAAACACCCAGCCACCTATGCCAGAGCAATGTTGATGATGACCCCCTTCATTGCTGAGTAGAGAGGTGGACCAAGCACATTTGCCCTGCCATAACACCTGAAGAACCGGCGTGAATATCTGCTACACCAAAAATTTGTGGAATTATGCTTACAAAACTTGGAGGCAATTAGAAGGAAATTTACCGTATTCTCAGCTAGCAGATGGAGTTCCCATAGAAAAGGAAGAGAGACCCACAGAAAATATCCATCCAGCCCCTAATTCCCTATGCATTGCCAGAAAGTCTGGCCCGTGTCCAGGGACTGGAAAACACAGAATAGCCCTATAAATGTATATTCTTCCAGTCACTAAGGGACACAGCATTGTGTTTGTGAAACTGCTGCTTCATCCATCCCCACTTCTACCAGCTTCTGCAGAGAGGGTCAGCATGGAGAGATACCACTCACCAGGGACAGGGAACGGTAATAAACATTTGCAATGGTCACAGAGAGAATGGACCGCTCTGATTTACCCATTCTCTTCCCGGACATAAGCAAGCCCACACCCCAGACACCATCCACACCCAAACCCCTTCCACTGTCTCCCTTTCACAGGGGGAGGGCAGTTTGGGTCTTTGAGCAAACATAAATGTCATAAAACTGTTCTTTCCCAACCTGGGTCCCTTCATAACTTATGCCCTTCCTCCCTCCCTTCCTTTCCCTCTGGTCTACACAGCCCAGCCTATTGCTATTCAGAGTCCTGGCTGAGAAGTGCACAGACACAGGGGCACAGTGACTGCTTATTAATAATTTGCTATAGCTTCCATTACATGCTTTATAGTAGTTCATAGGATTTCAATTAAATTATTGATTTACAGCTGTGTTTTTCTTGGGGACCATGTAGAGGTGGAGTGGGGACGAGGTGTGCGGGTCAGCATCAGGCGTGTATTACTAGCGCAAGAGGGGCTATTTACAGGGAACGTGGAGGTGTACTGTAACTTACCAGCCTTGGATTCCAGTTCCTGCAATGGCTTAGGAACCTCCTCAACCAGGTCCATCAGGTAGAGGTGTTGACTACTGTACTCCTCTTTTTTCCAGGGCTTCCCAGGGCTTCCTCCAGGACTTCCTCTGAGGTCCCTACTGCCTCCTCACCCTGCCCCTCGTTGGTGTCCCATCATACGATAAGGCGAGTGGGATTGACGATAGAATCATGAGTCACTTCAGGCTCAGTACTCGCAGCCTTGG